ATTGCTTAGTTTCTGTACATTACAGAATTATGCAGAATTATATATATGTATATAATTGAATATATATAAATATATATATAATTCTGCATAATTCTGTAATGTACAGAAACTAAGCAATTTATGTTATTACAGCGATCGACTCTAAAGAAAATTCTTTAAAACTTTCCTGTACATTTATTTTCATTGCATTCCTTCTTTATCTTTCAGAACACCGAAATAAATACTACCTAATATTTCGTTCTTTGAAAATTATACACGGAACACAGAACCAACATCCTACCATTTTATCCAGCGCTAAAATTTTATCTCAATCATGCTAATCATTATAATCCGATAATAGACGATAGAAGCTATTCTCTCTTTTTCGATTCGATGAGAAACAAGTAGTTGAATCTTTTTCGATTCCTCCTTGTGACTTGTCGAACGAAGAAACGCTTGCTATTCCACGATGTTGTGAACAAAAATTCTAATTAACAACTTTTGCGTTTCATTCTCCTTTCTTACATGCTGCGATTGTTTGCAGAACGAACAGGTGAGTGTAACGTTGAAAAGTATATTACTCTGCAGCTTGTGGGATGAAAAGCTTTTCAAACAACGAAATTTTTGAAACAGTAAAAAATTATTTTTTCTAAAAATTTTACCCTATTTAATTAAGGATCGAGAACTACATAAGAGTATGTATTTTCAAAATTTTATCTAGAAAATAACGGGTAGCTGATTTCCACATGAATGCCCTTCTTTAAACTTTCGTCTTTGTAGATGTAAGACAAATATAATTTTTCTGATAAATATTGAAATAAATGATCAATAAGTCAATACCAAACATAACCTCTGTATTCATGTTTTTCATACAAAATCAATAATTTTGTTTGTTTTCCTTTTCATCTAAATCTGTTGTTCGTTACTATACGTCCTTTCGATTTACATATTGCAACTTTGGTGTAAGGTATAAATTGCATCGATCCTAAGTGAGTATTACGTACCAGGAATAGTATCGATACCATATCCGTTCGATCACTAGCGACAGATAGGCAGTTGCGTATATTTAATTTATCATTCGAGATGTTTATCTAGATACAAATTTTGTCCATCTCTGGGGAATGGAGACGAAAGGAGATCTGTGATTCGAATGAGGGTGAAGTGAGAATCAGTCGTATTTTCTTTTTCACCCCTGGCCACGGTTCTCTTTCGGCGTTTCTGTTTTCCTGGCAGCAAGAGTGTCGCGTCGATTTAAATGAATTTGCATGGATTTTCCATTTATCCGTCTGCCGATCGTTTATTGCATATTTATCGAAAACGACGAAGAACTAATGCGATAAATTTCAATAAGCCCATCGGGCAACACGTCATTCGGTGGCTTTAATATTCATACTGGCTCAGCTAGTATCCGATGGGCTTTAGTTCAGAGCATTTGGTTTGCGAAATCAGGAAATGCAACGCGCTTTAGCTGCGAAAAACATAAACGTCTTTACAACGCAAGAAACTAGAGTTAAACCGGGGATTGCAATACTTACCTCGATTAATTGAACAACGAAGAGAGAGTTAGTTATTAAGATATCTCACCCTTGGTTGGATTATCAAAGCAAAAGATAAACAATGGTTTAGTGGCCTTTGGATCTTAGAGCTGTTATCGTATGCGCCAAAAAAAGATATTTCTAAAGAATTTTTATTTCACATAACAAATAATTGTGGAATATCAGTGCTGTCATACATAATAGTAGACATGTTAAACTAATACACAACAATTATTTTTGTTTATTTTCAATCATTTTTTTCATTGATAATAACCACACGAAATTTAGTCTCCTCTTCTACGGTTAACACGATAAATTGACATTGGATCATCCTAGTATAAAAAATTATAATTTTGTCAGTATAAACCCAATTATATAAATATAGAATAAAAAGAAATATATACTAACGTAACATTTGTAACTACACAATATTATCTACTGCATCGATGCGAACTATTTAGTCTTCATTTTTTATTATTTTATTAATTTCCTTGTTTAACCAGTTTCTTTCTTCAAATACTTTGATATAATCATATTGTTGTTGTTTGCTGTCTTGTATCTGTATAATTTTTATAAATTGTATCGTTTGTACAAAGTAATGTAATTATCCACTATATAATTGAAAAAGGAAATAAATAAATATGGATATCTGTTACTGAAATAAATTCGAAGAGCAATGAAAATTGCATTTAACTATGACAAAATCAAAATTGTATAGAACTTCCATTATCTCTAGTCATCATTTACAACAGCCTACGGTTTTCGTACCCGATAACACAGTTAATTTCATGCGAGTAGGATACGTTTAAAAGCACCAGCGATTGTTTCAAACACACCGACGCTTAACTTACCGAATATACATACATACAACCCTGTAATAAGAATAATTGACTTGGATGAAAGTTTCATCGCGGTCGCAAAGGCGCTTTGTTCCGTACTAGAGGGCCAGAAGAGGAACAGATCGATTAATCGTTGGATTTTGTAGTTTCAGAGAGCGTGTTTTCCGCTGCCGTTGGGGTTGGAGTGGGTGGTTACACCTGGGGTGCTCCCACGCCGCCCCCTGGTTCACCCTACAGTCCTGTACCCGTGACACAGCTCGAGCTATTGGCCAAGAATCTGGCCAGTTTGGCTCCTCCAGGTCAACAGGCGCTTAGTCTTCAAGGTGTTGGTGTGAATGTCGGAAGTTTGCATCACGCGCAACATACACAGCACACTCAACACACCCAGCACACGCTCAACTTGACTGGTCTTCATCATCTTCATCATGGTGAGTGTATCAGCATTTAGGATATAAAATAAATGTAAATCGAACAACGCTTGTCTGTATCTTCAAGTAAAACAACTCGCAAATGTACCAAACATTTACTTTTATCTAGACATCGATTTTTAATATGAGAATATCGAACATATATACACTTGATAAATAAGGATAATACTCAGATGTGGAATTCAGTCACGTAAAAGCAATGGTATTTGCTCAGGTTATCGGAAACGTGGATGGAATGAAACAGTTGGTCATTCAATCCTTTCCAGAGTGAAAAATTCACAAAGCATTAGTGAAAATTTATAATTTTTTATATGTTTGTCGATCAGAAATTTGCAAAACTTTATCCGAATAATAGATAACAAATAGATTGAAATTAGAAAAACTGAATTTCATAGCTTAAACTTAATGTAAATATATTCTAATATCCATCAGGTTCAGATTTAGGTTATGTATTATAGATTCATTGTAATGTAGATCAAATTGAACATGTCAAAGTGACGAATAAATATTTTTATTTAAACTACACTCGTAAACGTTTGAATATAGGAATTAATGGTTGTATTCACGAGAAAAATTCATCAATTACTAGTCGGTTTAAGAATCTTATTCTTAAATATACAGATTGATTTCCTTTGTGTGAACTTCTGTTTACATTGAAAATGACTTGAGAAAAAAAATCGAAGCTATCTTATAAATTACTTGAATTGATGAACAACATTTTAAAGTTATTATATTAATTGTCTGGTTATGTGGCTGAAATTTATAATAAAGTTTCCCTTTGTATTCCCACCAAATGAACAGCAAATTCTGTCGAAGATACTATTCAACTTTGATAGAGGTTAATAATATTTCTCATGATTCAGATTACTAACTTTCTTTTTACCACCAAACATGATTCATTTATCATCATCACTGCCTATTTACAGTATTTACTTATGAGCAGCTTGTGTCCCCGTTTATCAAGAAATTTATCAAGGAACAATATAGGCAATGGTTTCAGACAATACTTTTCTCATCACGCGATAAAATATTTTCACTATCAATAATACGCGTCAATTATACAGAAAAATTACATCAATCACTCAAAGGCTGCTCAAACGTATCGAATAGATTCATGGAGGTGAAATCAAACGCAAAGAAGAAGGAGCTGCGAAACAGCCCTTCGTTTAGCCATTCGCATCATAGAGCGGTATCAATCTAAGTATGATCGCCGGATATTCCAAAGTCGGGGAACTTTTCTCGTTTAACTTTATCGATCGCAACTCTGTAATAAAGGGACGAATTAAAGTTACGCATTCAACAAGTTGGGAAAGAGTTTAATCGGCGTACGATTGCCGATTAATTCGACGTAAACGTTGGAATGATCTTCGATCACTTCGGAAGTTGACACGGGGGTTATTCAACGTCCTTGAGTGCTTTCAGAGCTGTATTCAGAGCCTGACGCTTGCGAATCGCTATCGAAGTTTCACGTGGACTCGTCGTTAAGCAGCTTTCAATGTTTGAAAGTAAAATGGGTGTTCGAAGAGGTTCGGAGTCTCTGTGTTCGTGCTTTAATGGTATCGCGTAACGAATCTCTCAGAGATACTTGTCGAGACTTTTGATCTCGCGTCGACTACGTATGATCAGTCTTTCCCTCGTTCAAACACATCCACTTTTTTTCGTCGTATCAGATTGTTTGCAAATGAAACACAGATTTTGCTAATTTGTATTCTTTGTATCTTCTCTAGTATTTAGGTATTTTAAGTTTTAAGGAAAATAGGCAGTAAAATTTGTACAGCGATATTTAGCAGATTAAACAAATGTTACACATGAAATGCTTCTGGTAATGTGATTATATATTTTATTTCCGAAATTTCTCTTCAAGAAAACTATTTACAATGAACGTTGATGTTTCCAACAGTTTGGTTAGTTCAGTTTCCTTTCGTAACATTGCTAAACTGTTTCGACTTTCCTGGGTCATAGCGCTTCTGAGACTGTTTTTAATTATTTTTAATTTGATATATTGAAGAAAGTCAGATGGTACAAATTGTAATTTAGAAATATGTCAGAATGTATAGGTTTATTAAGTATCGTCCATAATCTATTATTTTGTTTACTTATTTAAATTATTATAAAATCATTTCTATTGTATTATTTTTAAATATATTCAAATTGTTATCCATATCTAATTTATATGTATATTTGTGTAAGAGTCGAATATTTGTTAGTAGTATCAATATTTAATTAAATTTTTTAGGTTGGATGAAAACTGTAAACATACCTTTTTGTATCACATTTCCCGAGATTTGATCTCAATTTTTGCAGTATGAAATTCAGTTAACAATTTAGCCACCAGGTGGCAAATCTTTTTTTTTATCGCAGAGCATTATCTGCAGTTTCAGCCCATTTTACAAAAGACAGTTTCTACATGGAAGACGCGATTAAACAAGAATCTTCTAAAAAAGTCACTGTTGAGTTCTCTAACGTAATTCTGTTGCTCTAATAATCAGCATAATCACGCCAATTTATATGATATACATAATAAACCCTTGATTACCAATTAAATTAAATCTTTTAGGTGAATTAAAAAATGTCGAATTGAGAAAATATTCAAGCATTTTTGTATATTTTTAGCATATTCAAATTTCAAATGCTTTATTCTTCATTATATTCGTACGGATTTCTTCTAATTTATTCATACAAAGTATCGTCACGGTACGTCACTAAATGTCAACTTAAATCCGTAACTCGACTCTAACGCATTTCTATTCTCTGTTTTCATACTCACCGCAAAGAGAAAACAAATTGTATAACTGATCTAGAACGTGAAAATAATGTATGTAAGAGAAGTTAACCCATTACATTCGAATGATCTCTATGAGGGACATCGTAAGTTTAACAAGTTTTGTTAGTGACATCTTTATTGCAAACAAAAATCCTTTATGTTTGCAGTAGTGTCAGAACTTGAAGAAAACTATAAGAATTTATAATCAAGTCTAATAATACCAAAACAGACACATTTCCAAAGTTACTATTAAGTAATTAGAATCAATAGAGTAGCTAGACTTTATGTAATGCCATTCCTGTTCGCACATTTTGCAACGAAATGGCGCAGAATGCAAAGGGTTATCCCTTTGCATTCGAGCCCTTTCTTTCTAGTATCTATCAGCAACTCGAGATGCTTTCTTAGCATTCTATTGTCACGAATGCTAAGCTTAGATTGACTTCGAAATTGAGATCTCTAATTTGAGACTTGAAAATCAGGTCGCCTTTGCCTCAACGACAATCATTTTGTTGACACTTCGAATTCCAAAGAAGTGAAACCTAAAGGAAACCTAGTGGTGACTGAAAGCCACCTCTCGAGTGCAAAGAGTTAATAATATGGCGTATTATTCTTACGCCTGATATCCAAGTCTCCAGTTGATAGAGACTGCGGATAGTCGAACTTCGGATAATCGAGGTTACATTGTACGTCTATTAAACGACTATTGACTACGAAATCTAAATTTGTTGAACAGGAGGACTCCACCAGAACACTTTTTCGCCACAACTGTCTCTGGTTACCGGGAACGCGCCCACGCTGACGATCAACAGCTTTTCGTCGCCTAACTCGACAGGCAACGTGGTACCGACGACGGGAGTGCTTCTTCATGAGTATCAGTCGCCGTCAGGTTCGACTACCGGATGCTCGGTCACCGTGAACGGCACCTCGTGCCCGACGAGCTCAACGACGAGTACGATGGTGATGCAGGCAGACCAGAACACCGGCAACCAGGTCGTTCAGGCTACCAGCAAGAAACGAGAGGCCTTCCTTCCGAGTCAAGGTCAGCCGGTGAAACTGGAGAATAAATCGACTAGGCAGCCCTGCGTCTGCAGAAACAGTGGTACGTTTTTCTCTTTTATCTTAATTCCCATACGGGGATCTATCGCGAAGCGCCTCTTAACGATCTAAGACGAGGTTTATGATCGAGCTCCGAATTTTGCTTCAGCGAACCACTTAAAGGCGTGTCGAGTGTTGCTTCGGGTAGCGATTTAGTTGCAAATTCAAAGCATACCACACGGTGATACGAATACAACGCCTCTACGCACAAAGTGACGTTGTTGAACATTACTCAAATGTGAATTACGATAAAAAATAAGCAATGCATTAGTAGTGATACAATGTATTTGTTGGAACCTAGAGGTAACTGTTTAGAGGTGTGTTCAGCAACGTTTTGAGTGGTTAATTGCGATTTCGCTCAACGGTGAATAGTGTTTTGTATGTTTACACGAATACACCAACTCTGCTACAAATTAATGCAGTAGAGCCTGGTAGACATATAAATATGATACAAAATAGTAAACAGTATATTATTGTTGGTAATGTGAGTTTGTTGGAACCTAGAACTAATTGTTTAGAAGTGTGTTGAGGATCGTTTCGTGTAGTAAGTTGCAACTTCACTCAATGCTCTTTAGTAAATTATGCGATCTTGATTACACCTTCCTTGTCACAAATTATTGTGATAGAACCTGATAGTGAAGCGAATTATGATAAAAAGTAATAAGTAATATATTATTGCTAATACTGTGCATTAATTGGAACCTAGTTGGAACTGTTTCGAGAGTGTTTTTAATTAGCCATTATTTCTGAGTCCTACTTAGAAATTTACCTAACACTTTATAATAGTAGATATGTATATGGACCATTTATTTTGAAAGTGGTGTAAGTAAAAATTACTAACGCAGAAAAGGTAAACTGGCTAAAAATATGTAAGGTGAGGTTTTACAAAAATGCACTGAATACTATGTTATATAAAATATCGATGGAGGACAGAATTTAAGACGTTAGATTTATCGCCCACATGTTGGGGAAGACCGCAAAAATTTGAAAAAATCCATATCTTGGACCACATCGACACGAATATGCTATTCCTATCACAGACTCGTGTGACAGTTTTATTGAGGGGTGAATCCTTCTCAAGAATAATGAGTATTCTTATTGCTAGTACTATCCATTAGCTAGAACTCAGACTTACCGTTTACAGACAATTTGATTATCATTTTAAGTAGCTATGCAGTTCATTTAATGTTCTAGCTATCTCTGTGAAAAAATAATGTGATAGGAGTCATTGCGATGTAATTTACGATAAACAGTAATGAATAACGTATCATCATTGATAGTACGGTTTATCAAAAATTATATTAAACTGTTATACAAAGACACCGATGAGACAATACATACAGTGGGTGTAGAAAGTATTCGTACACCTATCAATTTCCAAAAAAACTATGTAAAAATTGCAATTTATTAACTTATTTTTTAGAAACAATGACATTCTAAATATTCTCGGAAATCTCTAGAATAGATAGATTACAAAAAAAAAAAAAAAAAAAAATAGCTATTTATGTAAGTTGGGAAATTAACAAGAAAAAGCAATTAATCGATAGAAATGTTGAGGCAATAAGTATTCGGACAACTGTTTAATTTTTAACACTTGATTAAAAAAAAAACAGAAATTTACATTAATTTATAAGTATATAATACTTCCTTCGTGGGATTTCCTCTTGATTTTATAATTGTTGCAACTCTTCCAAGCATTAAATTAACTATATTATTAATTATTCGAAGTGGGATCTTCTTCCATTCCTCTATTAGAGTCTTCTTTAAAAGTACTTTACTGGAATATTGATGTTTTCTAATTCGTACGGAGCAATAAACTAATGTGTTTACGTTACAAACTCTACTAAATGGCTAATGGTAAATGGTTCGTCATAAGAATCGTACAAATACTTATTGCTTCTATAATATTTATCCACTTTTCGCACTCTTTTGTTAATTTCACAAATTATATTAACTAGTAAATGTTGTTTGGACTATATCTATCTTAGAGACTTCCGTGAATATTAAAATATTATTGATTATAAAAAAAAAGTTAATAAATTACAATTTCACATAGTTTTTATGGAAATTAATCGATGTACGAATACTTTCCACACCCACTGTAGGTGAGATGATTTTCATGATTGTTCTTGTGTGTTATGTTCTGTATCTTTCCAACGTGCTGCAAACTTTAGGCTAATCGAAACGATCATTTCGAGCATTTTAGTTAGTCCAAATATCACAGCATGCTACAAACTAGCAGGAAATATTGTACAAAACCAATTATGAAAATTATATATGAGAATTGTATTGCCTTGCTTACCAACCTGCGAGAAATTATGCAAGAAAACGTGCTACGTCTAAATTTTATTTAAGGAAAAGCCGTTTTTGGGGGAAATGTAGCGGTTCTAGGAACTGAAAATGGAAGTTGACCAAGGGTCGACAGAGAATGACGGTTTATGACGTGACCTGCGATAATGTCCAGGCCATATTCGTCGGCAGATGTTTCGAAGTATGAGTTCTGTAACAAGTTTACCTGGACCTGGGGATGCAAAAAGGCGTTTTCTTAAAACAAAGCTAAGTACTGATTGATTACACTGTCCAACACGATTTTTTTTCTGCGATATCCACTAGGTGATTCTTATAGGGTTCCTCGTCCTAAATACGAATCTGAAAGTGAAATTGCTCCATCACCCATAGTTTTCGAGAAATTCGAGATTTTGTAAATACGATCGATTATGAGAGAAAACGTAGTACTACTTGAAAACTACGAACGCTAGAAAGTTCTATTTAGTCTTAAAAGATAGAGGAGTGTTTTCTAAATATGAAGACATATTCCTTCAGAATTATCTGCTCTTTTGAATGCCTGTAAATGAACAGCGAATTTGAAAAAGGTGATGATGGGTGAATTTTTCACGAAATACTTTTGTATTTTAATGAGGAGTTATTCACCTAGGTCGATTTTACACTACGTTATCGGATTCTGCAAACATTTCTGAAGAGAAAACCACTCGCGGCAAATGTTGGAACGGTTTCTAATTCATACGGTTTGACAAAATGTCAACTCGGAACGCATGAACAGTGTTTTGCCGCTGCACAGCCATTGGTTGCTATGTTTCGGTCAATTAGGGCCGTCGCTACGGGATTTGCCTAATCGGTGCCACGCGCTATCGGTTTTTGTATTACATTTACATGTTCCAGATAAATAATTCTTCATTTTTAATATTTCATTTATACTGCAACTCAACAAAACGGAGACAATTGTCCACTGTTTAAATTTTAATCATTAATTTTCCGTCTTTGTATCTTCAATTATTCAACTTTTGCTAATTTGGTATTGAGCAAACTTTATTTAAATCTAGATTGAATTATTTAACAATTAATTCAATCTATAATTGTATATTTTGTTGTTAATTTTTAATGAAAACTGGTACCTATAAAAAATCTCTCTTTAGAGCAGAGTTTACCCCCCCCCCCCAAACACTAACTTAAATAACAAAAGATTAAAGTGTCGAAAAGTAGAAACATTAAGCTTTAAAACGGTTTTCTATTCGTCAATGTGGAACGAATTTTAACGAAGTTACGAGGATTTGATGGTTATTATTCAAGCACGTGGCGACGATTGTGCAGAACGCATGACGACGATCCTGATTCACCGATATAAAGCGAGCGAAGCCTGCGCGCCGGCAAACAGAATTCGTGTGTTCTAGATTAATATTTTCTGGATCTGTACGAACTAGAAAACGATCCAACATTTACTGCGGGTGGTTTTCTCTTCAGAAATGTTTGCAGAATCCTATAATTGATAGTAAATTCGACCTAGACGAATAAATTTTCATAAAAATACAAAAGTTTTCGTGAAAAGTACTCGCGTCGCCAACTTTTTGAACTTCGGTGTTCATTTACAGGCATTCAAAAGAGCAGATAATTCTGAAGGAATATGTCTTCATATTTAGAAAACACTCCTCTATCTTTTAAGACTAAATAGAACTTTCTAGCGTTCGTAGTTTTCAAGTAGTACTACGTTTTCTCTCATAATCGATCGTATTTACAAAATCTCGAATTTCTCGAAAACTATGGGTGATGGAGCAATTTCACTTTCAGATTCGTATTTAGGACGAGGAACCCTATAAGAATCACCTAGTGGATATCGCGGAATTTTAAAAAAGTTTAAATTTGTTAGACAGTGTTATGATTGATGGAGCGGGACTCATTCATAAGAGTCTTTGTTCTTCCTTAGCCGTTTGCGACGTCTGATTCTAGTACTCGTATTCATATTTAAGAAATCAGATTTATTCAGATTATATCACTGCTTAAAATATTATTTCAAGTAATACGTTATTTTATTTCGTTATTATTTGAAGTAGTTGCTTGAAGTAATTGTGAAATCACAAATACCTGATGATTTTGAGTTTGAAATCGATGAAGATAAAATATTAAACTATATCATGATTGTTATCCAAATTCAAAAAGAAATATGTACATGTATTGAAATTTTGCAAGATGAAACTAGTAGATTGGCCTGTTTATGCTGAAAGATCATTCAATATTAAAACACGTTTTTCTAAAGTATAAAACTCCCCTTCCATCGTCATCAGTGGAGCGATTATTTTCTTTTGTGACAATATTAGATGGGCCCAGATAAAAATTTCTTACAGATGAACTTTTTAAAGAAAGAATTTTGCTCAAAGCCAATTTTTTTACAGATTCCTTAAAAGAAATTCTTTCGTTAAATTTGAAATAAAAAAATAAGGAAATAATTCGTTATTTGAAAGTTATTATTTCAAATAAATTTTCAAATAACTGTATGAAAATAATGATCTGAAATAAATTATCTTAAATAGATATTCCTTATTTTCATTTCAATGAAACTTCCACGACTCGGTTCTTCACAGTTGATACTAATTGAGGTTTCCGGGTGTAAATCATGTCCTTGGGGTAAAATACTTCGTCGTTCGACTAGAATGACAGCTAACTGTTTCAGAGTTCAAACGACACATTAATCAATACCAGCTTAGCATTTGA